CCGCCCGGCCCCCTGGCAAAGCGAGCCCCCCCCCCAGCGCCTCCCCCAGCCCCTTCCCGGCTGCCCCCCGCCAACAGCTGGAGCCCATCTACCGGCTCCTGCTTTCACAGGGCGGACGATTAATCCCCTCTGCTAATTGGAGCCATGTGGCAAGAGGAGCGCAGGCAGCAGGCAGCCCCCGCCGCGGGCACACGGGACAGCCCCGGGGCTCACCCCGTCCCGGCACTGGCTGGGCTGGGGGCCAGGCGTCCCACCGGGGCTTCCGCAGCAGCCCCAGCCCCGGCTGACACACCGGGATTGACGGGGATCCCCGGGACAAGGCTTCTGCTGCTGGAGGAGCTGGTGGGGGTCACCCGAGGTGACGCAGAGCTGGCTGGCCTCTCGAGCAGGAGGAAAGCCCCATCGGGCCAGGCGCCGCAAAGCAAGGGTGACCATGCAGCGGCTGCACCGCGGTGCCTGTCCCCGTGTCTCACTGCAGTGCGAGACAGCACGAGCCTCCCTCCGCTCCCCACGCCGGCTAAACCTCGCGTTATCGCCGGCTCACGCAGGAGTCACCACGTCTCCGCCAAACTGGGCTGTTCTGGAGCGTGGCCGCGGGTCCAAGCCGGGCACGTGTCCCCTCCCCGAGGGCCCGGCTCTCCCTGGCCTCGTGCTGCAGACCCTTGCTCTGCCCCAGCAGCTCACCAGCGTCTCTTTCCCAAGTTTTCCCCCCTTTCCCGCTGGATACAAGCGTTTCAGCTGCTTGCCCAGAGCAGCGCCTGGCATCCTTTGCAGTCATCCCTGCCAGCCGTCACCAGGCTGAACTCGCGGGTATTTGTGTGATGATGGCTGTCTTGATGTAAAAATAGGCAGCTCCGGAGAACCACCGCGTCCCTTACTGCTACAAGCACGTCATGGCTTCTTAGTCCTGACTCTTCTGTCGTCAGCTGCAAGGAATTAGACCCGGCTGCTCCTTTGCCAGTCGAAGGCCACTGCTCTTCCACTTCTCTGGTCCCCTTCAGACGGGCAAGGCAGGACCCATCCCCTCGGATTGCTCGGCTCCAGGGGAAGTGTCTCCATCTGCAGCCACCACCACGGGTCTCTGTAGAGTCAACGGGGAGAAACTGGGCTTGCAGCTTCACCTGGCTTACTTTAGACACTGGCTTCGGGATGGGACAACTCTTCCTCTGCGTGCCGGTTCCTCTCCGGTGATGGAGAAGACCTTGAGCCCGTGTCTCATCACCAAAGCCTGCCCACACCAGCGAGCTGAACCCCTCCCTGAAACACCACGACCAACTCACCCTGCCCCATCTTCTTGCTGAGCAAGAGCTGACGCCCCGCAGGAGAAGGTCCCTGGGTCCTGCGGCCCTTCTCGGACCGCTGTCCCCCTCCTCTGCCTGAGCCCTGTGCCTGGAGGGAGGGACCCCTGTGAGCTCACCAGTGCTGACACCAGGTGCAATTGCTACCTGCACCTCCTTATAACACCTCCCAGGGGTTCCTCATTTGCTAATTTAATCAGTGCTGATTAGATCCTTCCTTACACATGGTTGAAAAAGGTGTGGGAAGCTCCCCAAGCCCCGAATTACCTTATGCGGAGCCCACCGGGAGCAGCCCCTGCCGCGACTCTGACCCCTCTGCTCCCGCACCGGCTGCGTCTTCCTCGGGATGTCACGCGTTGCCCCCACCTTGGGGAAGGGTCTTCAGGAGGGGCCGGGGCCCATCCCAGCCTCACCCTGCTCCGTCCCCAGGTGCCAACGGCGAGCGGTGCCTGACGCCGTCCCCTCCCGGCTCCCCGGGGACACCCCACGACAGCTGCAGCATCGCCCCGCTGACGCCCTCCCAGTCACCGGTAAGGCCGTTGTGGGGTCCCCCGGGGCCGCGGGGGTCCGTCTCCCCGGCATTGCCCCCTCTGATCCATCCCTGATCAGTGGTCACCCCCCGCCGCCTCCCCTCCCAGTCCGGTTGCCATCCCTACCGCACACCCCGGTATCAGCCGAAGGATGGGTCAGGCTGTCGCTGGGGCCCAAATCCCCCCTTAGCTGTGGGGTTTATGGGACGGGATTTCTCCAGCGCAGGAGGTTAGCAGGAGGCAGGAGAGGAACCGGAGGAAACACCAGCATAAGTTTAACTCTTTGCAAAGCTCCTGGCCTCAGTTTGCTGATACCGGGGCGTCCCAGGGGACTGCGCGGCGTGGAGGGATGCATGCGGGGAGCGTGCCGGAGCCCGTTCCTCCCCAGTGCTCGCTGTCCTCGCAGATCCCTGAACATGCACATTTCTCAGACAACCACTTCACCCATGCTAATCGCTGGCTTTTTTCGTGGCGAGCTAATGTCTGCGCTTATCAAATCTGGATACGTTTAAAAGTTAATGAGGGCTTTTAGCTTTCCGTGTCTGCCCCACGTGCTAGGAGGCTGCGGCAGGCAAGGGCCCCAGCGCGGGGCGGGGGCACGGGCACGGGGCTCGCCACGTCTTCGTGGCTCCTTCGGCACCGCTGTTCCCTGCCACCTCCGTCCGCCGTCACGGGGGCTGGCCGGGGGCCAGGGGGCCAAGAGACGCAGGACGGGGGCCCAAAGGCAGGGCCAGAAAAGCATCAGCTGTAGGAAGCAGCAGGGGGAACCCCCTGAAGCAGCTGGGCCAGGAAGGTTTTTGGTTGGGTGACCCACGGGGACACTTGGGACAAGCTCCCTTGGACTAATATTGGGAACAGGGAAGGTTTTGGGGAATCGCAGCTAAAATTTGCCAGAGTTCAAGTGTGGAGGGCTCAGCACCACCCCAACCCGGGAAGAAATGGAGACACCCCCCCGCCACCGCCCCAGGCAGCCCTCGTGGGCAGAGGCTGCAAGCACCCATCCCGCTCCGGGGTTGCCCAAACAGTTGGATTCAATGATCTCAGAGGTCTTTTCCAACCTTAATGATTCTATAAATCCCCTTGTCCCATGAGCCTGTCTTTGGGAATTGCCACAGGGACCCCCAGAGCACCCCAGTCCCTCCTCTCGGTGATTTGGAGGTGATTTGGAGCTGTGGAGGAGGAGGAATTGCCCCGTGTTGTCAGCATCACTGCAAAGAAAACCACAGCGACTGCCTGATCCAGGAAAAATTAACTCCTTCACACGTTTTTATTTTGCATACCCCTTTTCCCGAAGCAGCCAGCCCTGCTTCGGCGCTCGCCCCCCAGGCAGAGCCCGTCCCTCACGGCTGCCCTTGCGTTTCAGAGGAGCGAGGCTCGCTCCCAGCAAACCGCCTCCTTCGCCGTGGTGGTGGCCATCGACTTCGGCACCACCTCCAGCGGCTACGCCTTCAGCTTCTCCAGCGACCCCGAGGCCATCCACATGATGAGGTGAGGAGCAGCCAGAGGCCCGAGAGCTGCTCCCGGGCCTCTTAAAGGGTTTTTTGCCCAAAGGGGCTGGAAATCAGCTTGCTGGGAGGCAGGGATGGAGCCGGGCCAGGCAATGAACATCCCCACCGTCACGGGTGAGGGATGCCACCTGGCAGCGGCGGGTGGATGGAGCCTGCAAAATGGGTCTCGCGCTGGGCGGGAGGATGGGGTGAACGCCTCTTCGTTAGCGCTGTTATAACGACCTGCGTGGGTGCAGAGAGCCCTGCAGGGGTTGCACAGGGGTTAAAGCCTTCCCAGGGACGTTGGTCCCTTCTTTGTCCCTGTAAATAAATGGAACGGGGCAGGACCCATCCTCTGGCCGTGAGGCTCACGGGCTGCTCCCGGCTCCCGTTTGCAGGAAATGGGAAGGAGGGGACCCGGGGGTCGCCAACCAGAAGACCCCCACCAGCCTCCTGCTGACACCGGAGGGCACCTTCCACAGCTTCGGCTACACCGCCAGGGACTACTACCACGACTTGGACCCCGAGGAAGCCCGCGACTGGTTCTACTTCGAGAAGTTTAAGATGAAGATTCACAGCACCAGCGTAAGTCCCTGCTGCCATCCCGACCTCCCCGGGGGACCCGCGGGCAACCTGGCCGGGCTGGATGAGAGCCGAGCTGGCCCCAGGGATTTATCCCGCTTTGCAGAAAGCAAAGAGAAGGGTTCGGCGGGGGGAGCAGAAACATGGGAGGGCTGGAGAGGGGCTACAAGCAAAACCTCTGATCGCCAGCGTCCCGACCGAGCGCACCCAGCTCCCTGTCTGCTGTGCACACACTTCACACGTAGCAATGTTTTAGCCCTTTGCAGGGGGGGGAATTTTTGCTGATGGAGCCGGGATGGGATGCCAGCCACATCCCAGAACCCTGCATGACCTGGTTGCTGTCACTGCTCTTCCCGGCAGGACCTGACCATGAAAACCGAACTAGAAGCTGTCAACGGGAAGAAAATGCAAGCGCTGGAGGTGTTTGCCCACGCGCTCCGCTTCTTCAAGCAGCAGGCCGTGCAGGTAGGGCCCCCCAGCACCCGAGCCGGGTCTCCCCGCACCATCGCACAGCCCTGCTCTCCCTCCCCAAGCAAGTTGTGCGTGCCGTCCTCCCCACGGGTCGCTCCCTCGCCCTTCACCGAGAGCCCCGATGCTCCGGCCGGGGGTTCACCTGCTGCCCCTTGCCCGGCAGGAGCTGAGGGACCAGTGCCCATCCCTGCCGGCGCGGGATGCCATCCGCTGGGTGATCACCGTCCCCGCCATCTGGAAGCAGCCGGCCAAGCAGTTCATGCGGGAGGCTGCCTACAAGGTGAGGGGACCCCGGGGGGCTGTTCTGCGCCGTGACCCTCGCCGGAGGCCGTGCTCTCCGGGGGGCACCTCCTCCCCGCCTCTCCCCGTGGGTGCTGCCCGCATAACGACGGGTCTCTGGCGTGTCCTTGTCGCCCGAGGAATAAGATCTGGCCTCTTGCTGTTGGGCAAGGGTTGTCTTTGAAACCTGGTGTTGGCGAGGTGGGAGGATTTCGGAGCAGGGTGTGCAGCAAGGGGGGGACTGGGGGCGGGGACGTGTGCTCCCCCAGGGATGAGGGGTGCCCCTTGGGTGCTTTGTGCTGCCGTGGGGTCCTGGGGACAGGCAGGAGCTAGCGAGCGGTGCCTGGCGCACAGCCGTAACGCGTAGGACTGCTGTGCAACATATGGTACCTATACAGGCAGAAGCGATGGGCTAAGGCCAGGGATGGGAGAGCCCTGCCAGAGCACGGCGCGGCGAGCAGGGACGCCCCGGTGCACCAGCACCTTCCCGGCCCTGACGCCCCGACCTCCCTGCAGGCCGGGCTGGTGTCCCCGGAGAACCCCGAGCAGCTGCTGATCGCGCTGGAGCCCGAAGCCGCCTCCATTTATTGCAGGAAACTTCGCCTCCACCAACTGATCGACCTGAGCTGCAAACCCCCGGCCAACGGGCTGGCGCCCGACCACCCCATCGACTCCAGCTTTCGGCAGGGTGAGTGGCCGCGGGGGAACGGGAGCTGCCGGACGGGTGCAGGCAGAGGGTCCTGGCAGGGTGGGGGGCTGGAATGGCAGGAGATGGAGCAGGCAGGGATTCAGCCCCGCAAGCCGGGTTTTGAGGGTCCATCAGCGGCCGGGGATGGGGTTTGAGGCAGCCTTGGGGCGCAGCTCAGCCTCAGTGGGGTCCCCGGGCTGAGCACCACGGGCAACCCTGGAGCGGGGTGCCGGGGAGCCGGCCGGAGAGGCGCAGCCCCAGGTACATCCATCCAGGGGCTCTCACACCCCTGCCCCAAGGTCCCGGTCCTGCCCGGGCAGCGGAGGGGCTCGGGGAGCAGCCCTGGCTCCCCAGCAGCCTGGCAGGGAGCTGGTTTGGGTTACGGTCCCGGCACGTGCCTCTCGCTGGGCTCTGGGGACAGAGCAAAACCACGGCCGGCAAAGGAGCGAGGAGCGCAGGGGCCGTTCTTGGGGAGCTGCTGCTGCCTGCAGCCCAGCCCCCACGAGCAGGGGGTGCACAGGCAGCCCCCCGGGGCTCTCCAGCATGGGTGTTTCTCCCCAGAGACCCCCGTGCTCCCTCCTGAGCCCAGCACAGGCACCTTGGCCCCCCTGCCACGGCCCCTTGCTGGGGCACTCACTCCCTCCCCATCCTCCTCCACTCCCGGCTCTTTTCCGCTTTCCCATCCCCTTCCCTATAATTCTCCCTTCTCTGGTACTTTAGCAAATGCGACCAATTCCGGCAAAAGCCGTTTGGGTTTCTGTGCAGCACCGGCGTGCGTCGGGGTGAGCCCGCGGCGGCTGCTCCGCGGCCGTAGAGCGAGGGCAGCGATCCCGCACACCGCTGCAAGGGCAGGGCTGGTCCCACTGCCACAGGGACCCCTGGCCCGCGGCGTCTTCTGGGGATGGGGGAAACTGAGGCAGGGATGAGGGGGCACCGTGCCAAGGCAGCGAGCAGGAGGCAGTGGCCGCTCCCCCCGGGGAGCCCTGCGCCCCCCTTTGCCCCCCGTTCCCTGCTTCCCAAGCCCACACGGCCGGGGCAGGCGATGGCTGCTTTCTCAGGAAGCATCCCAGCTGTGTGTCCCCATGGCCTCTGCCCAGCCCGCCCTTGATCTCTGCCCGCACCACCCCAGCTCCCCGGGCCGCCTCTCCCCTTCCCTTTCCCGGCATTTTCAGCCGGAGCCATTTCTGCTGGCTCAGCTGGAGCCGCCCTGGATTCCTGCCAGCAGCTCCGCTCGGCCTCGGCCACCCCGGCTCCTCGCCTCCCCTCTCCCCCAGCCCGGCCCCTCCGTACGGGCCAAGCCCTCAGGCTTCCCAGTCCCACACTGGCCTCCCTGGTCGATGCCGTAACCCCGGGAATAGGGAGAGGATCCACCAGCTGCTCCGGAGCCGGCCGAGACCCTCGGCTGAGCTGCCTGCAGGGATGCTCCCCCCATGCGTGGGACCCGGGGGTCCCCTCTGCTCCGGCCGCCGAGCCGGGGCTTTACTGGGGCAGAGCCGCGTTGCCCAGCCGGGACCGAGCCCCGGAGCTGGGACCTGCCGGTGCCCGCAGTCCTCGTCTTGCGTTTGGCCGGAGAGCCGGCGTCGCGTCCGGATTCACGGAAGGGTTCGAGCTGCATCCCGGGGCCGAAGCTAACGAAGTTGGTGGGCCGTGTCCATCTCGGCGTGCTGAAAATAGGCCGGGATAACCCCACCTTCTCCAAATATCTCCCTGCCCTTGCGGGCGGCTTTGATGTCCCCTGCCCCACGGGACGGGGGGGGGAGCGGAGGAAACCCCACCCGGGCTGGGGAGAAGAGGGGAAGGGGCGGCATCGCCCCGGGCACCGCGGGCTGGGTGCGGCCAGGTGGGATCCTGCGGGATCCCAGGCAGAGCAGCGGCACGGCTGGACCAGCTCCTCCATGATGGAGCTGGGGCCACACTGGGTGTCCCGGCTGGAGGGGAGCAGGCAACCAGTGCTCCCAGTGCAGCCCCCCACGGCATTCCCTGCCCGCCGGGGGGGATCCCAGGGGTGCTCCTGGCCCCGGTGCCCCACAGCCTGACGGCGGCCCCTCCGCTCTCTCCCGCAGCCCGAGAGCAGCTCCGCCGCCCCCGCCACAGCCGCACCTTCCTGGTGGAGTCGGGAGTCGGGGAGCTCTGGTCGGAAATGCAGGCAGGTAGGAGGGGTGACGGGCAGACCCCAGACCCCTGGGAAGGGCTCGCTGTGGGGCATGGGCACAAGCAGGAGCCCCCACGGGTGCTGCCTGGCCCCCGGGGCCATCCTGGGCAAGGGGATGGGGGGCTGGATGGCCCCGCTGTGGTGGAGCCCCCCGGGGAGCCCAAAAAACCCCATATTTTGGTTAAAGCTGCATTTTTCCCTGGGGACAGCGCAGGCCTGCGGCCCAGGGGCCACGTCCCGGCGGCTGCTCCGAGCCCACGGGGTGGGCGTCCCGGGGGCTCAGGCGCGGGGCTGGGGGGGACGTGGGACCCCGACTCGGCCGCTGTCCTTGCCCGCAGGTGACCGCTACATCGTGGCGGACTGCGGCGGCGGCACGG